TCCTACAGCCTCCTTCATCACATGTGTGTCTTCGACCTCAGCCTTGGAAAAAGTGCACTAAATAAGCAATGTGAGTACAACATGCATGCAGTGACCACACACACACACACACACACACACACACACACACACGCCTGCTGGCCTGGTCATCCACTGATAAGAGCCAGGACTTATCTCACGGTCTCTGCCTCTGACCCCACAAGGTGCAGAGGCACTGAAGGGAACCATCGTGGCTCCATGATCCTCCCAGACAAAAGTCCGAGGCAAGGACTAGGGGTACAGCTCAGGGGTGGGCTCCTGCACAGTGAGGCTCTGCGTCCCAGCCTCAGCATGATTATTAACAAATAAGCCACTCAACAATCAATCATGTAACAGCCCCTGTTTATCTCCCCACCCTCTCCTCCACACCCACACCTGCTCTCCCACAAGGCGCTGGCTGCCTAGCTGCTCCACCCCTCCCCCACCCTGGGTGGGAGTAGCTGCTCCTCCTCCTGCCAGTGGCCCAGCAACTCAGCTGACCCCCACCAATGAGGCCATGCTCCCCTCAGCTCAAGCCTCTGAACACACAAACTGGACCCCATTCCACTTCTGCTTATAATTCTCTCATCATACTTGGCATTCTGTCATGCAGCATAGATATGTGTGCATACGTCCATCTCCTCCATGAACTGAAGTCATGTGAAGACTCAAGCTACTTATGTTTTATTCCCAAAATTTCCAATCAATGCATGCTATGAGCCAGGCATTATACCATCCCCTAGAAAGATGAGTCAGGAGGCTCCCTTTGGTTTATCTAAACTCTACCAGAGTGTGGAGTGCAGCTCACCAACACAGCACCTGCCCAACATGTCCAGGGGCCTGGGTTCCTCCCTAGCACTGCACAGGCCACAAGTAAAAGATGAAAGCTGCTGGGGAGGAGAGAAAGCAATGGGAGTCAGGCTAAGTACACAGAGATTATAACACATGAAACATGATATACATTGAAATATAACCACAGCATGTTCCTTATGGTTACACAGATAACAGAGATCACATAAAAGGGACTGCAAATCTCATGCAGGTCAAGAGAAACATATCCAAAGAAGCAACATTTGCACAGCTGTCTGTGCACCCACAGGTGTAGACAGAGAAGCGAGAGGGCTCCAAAGTGTGTTAAAGGGACTGAGTCGCTTCCACTACAAGAGACACAGTTGGATGTGTGCCTTAAGTGACCGCTCTAACACTAACCAGAGTGCAGTCATCAGTCCCAAAGTCTGCTCAATGCATGAGTGTTAAGTTCACATTAGCATAAGAGAATTTCAGCAGTTCAGGAAGCACAGAACTCCATGAATCAGAGCTGGCTGTGATGCCCAGTAAAGTGGCACGGCCGCACTTCCCTGGGCTCTTTTTCAATGCACACTTTGACTGAAGGATTCAAGGAAAAGAAGAACATTGTGCTCAGGCAGGAAAAGCTCAAGAAGGGAACTAAGCTGAGAACTGGTTGAACAAGTGTCAGAGGTTCCATGGAGTGTGAATGGTCTCATTTAGTGGGCAGCAGCCAAGCAGGGCCCCGAAGCCAGGCTCGAGGCTGAGGCCTCAGACTGGGCTGCAGCTCAGGTGCCAGCATAGGCCGAGCAGGTAGGAGGCCCTGGATTCCATCTCCAGCTCGGCAAAAGCAAGCAGAGTAGACAGAGCCAGTGAGTGTGCTAGGCGGTTAGACATTAGGCATGAAGGAGGGCTGTGAAGCAGCATACTTCAGCAGTTATACTTAGTAAAGAAACAAGGATTTCAGTGTGTAACGCACTTATAATAGTTGGTTAGGTCTCAGACCTAAAATGATCCTTAGGACATGATGACATCAGAAGGTTACCCTCTGTGCACATACCCTCTGGACACCTAATGCACAGTTGATACCCTGTCCTGAGATCTCAGGAAAGGGAGCACCGTTTCAAGACCCTCCTTCCTTGGGTGGAAACATGACTGAAGTTTACGGGCAGGATTAAGACCACCAGAAGGGAACAAGGAAGACAGTTTGAGACACCAACATTCCCAGGAAAGCCCTCTGAAGAGGGGCACTAAGCACATAACCACCCATGCACACCAAGTTCTGTGTGCCCTGGGCAGACACCTTCGTGGTGCTGCCTGCCTTCTCACTTGAAGACATAATTCTCTCTGTAGCTACTTTCAGATGAATTCTGCATATCTTGACTGAATTCCTTATCAAGGGCACAAAGAACTTCAGGCCAAGGCAGTGAGGGGCTGGGTCCTCATTGTGTCAGGCCTCAAGAACAGTTAGGAGAGGGCTTGCGAAAGGAGACAGTGTTTGCTGCACTGCTTTGGATGACAGGATATGAATACAAACAGATTAGAAGTGGGGTCCATGCAATGGGTGAGAGCAAGAAGGTAAAGAAAAACTGTTGCCGGAGAGGGTGTCCAGTAACCCCTTGAAGCGCTGGCAGGGCTTGTGATTTGGGACAAAGGTGTCCTCAGCCCTTGCACCTTCTAGCTTGCCTGCAGCCTCCTTGGACCTGAGGGTTTAGAAGGAGATGGGCCAGCAGCAGGTGCACAGGCTATTGAACAGGTGTCCACCCATGGGCACAGGTGCATACATGTGCACACACATTTGGACAAGGGGAAATGAGGGACATGGAATTGAGAGAAAGGAACACCTGTGGAAACATCTTAGGTCCCCCATTAACCATCCATGATATCTGTACTGGGGGCTCTGGGTGTATCCTGGCAACCCCTCACCCCAGCAGAATGGACCTGTGAAGGTCATGGGCCCCAGGACCTCACCACTGAAGGACTCCTGTTCTGTTCCTCCCTTACCTCTTCTATCCACTCTATGGCCCCTCAGTAGCCATAAAAAGCACAGAAATTATGACAAGTGTTTTATCATCTCTCGACCATCAGTACTTAGGAATAAAAAAAAAAAAAACAGAACTTTTTTCAAAATAATCTAACAGAACTCTGTGTTCAGTGGCCTATTACCTGAAAGAAGTTTGCCTCCTACATATGACAGCTTTCATTCAAAAGAATAGCATTGCTTGGAGACAGATCTTGTAGAAGACTCAGGAAATTCCTGACCCAGAGGAACAAATGCTATTTTCCCTGCCTTTTCATCATACACCACATACTGTTCAGTCCCCTCTGTGCCAGGTGAGCCCTGGCTTTGTGTTCCCTCCAGTAGGAAGACCCTAAAAGCTCCATTTGCTTCCCCTTGCAAGGCTTTGGGCCACAGCACTGAGAATGTCTTGGCTCAATTCCAGCAATCAGCAGCACATTAAGGGATGGGTCTGGATCGACTTAATGTGTCATCATTTAACCAACTGTTGTTTTTTACTGGGACTTCTTAGAACTTTAAGTAGAGGCTTGATGGGCCTGATTAAGTTGTAAATTTTCCTCTTTTTGATGGCTTCTTCCTGTCTCTTTGATGGCCACAGAAGCCGCAATGAGAGTAATTAAACATTCAAACATGAAGATGAAAGGCAAGGTATCAACATGCACATGATTTATCTGCTAGTCAAATCCTTAATACTAAACCAAGAATCCCACTCACAACAAACTCAGCCATTTCCCAGTCTCTGTAAGGGTGGCTTGGAGGATCTTTGGCCCCTTTACAATTCACCTGCAGACACTGCAAGATAAGGGTAGCTCTTAGGTCAAACAATGTGTGTGGGGACAGATAGGTAACTGAAGTCCATTCCCTGCATTCTCTCAAGCTTACCATGCCCTCTGCCAAGGTCAGCACCTTTCAAGGAGGACAGCACAACTTGTGAGGAAAACACCTAAGAAGTTCTTTGCATCACTTTCTAAAAGATCAGTATAATGTATGGGCATGTCAGCCTTTCCAACGGATCATTCTGCAGACATTAAACCAGATATAATAAATAATATGCCGGATAGGAGACAGAGACAGTTTACTAAAACACATGCATGGGGGGACCACAAAAACATTCTAGGTCAAAGAGCCCAGGTCATGTGAAGTTCAATTCCTTGACGGCTCTCTTTTAATTGCTGTTGATGACAAAAAGAACACCAACCACCTCATGATGGATGTAGTCCGTCACTGGAGAACACTTGTAGTTTGCAGTTTCCAGAAAATTCTGAACCACAAAAAAACCTTTGCTACTGGACGACCATCGCCCCCAATGACAAATGGTGTGGAAGCATCACACTCTGCTCTTGGAAATCAGGAGCAGGATTAGAGAAGAAACCAAAGTGTTGATTTAGTGGAGCCTCCGGCCCTCTCGAGTTCTACACCTGCGTGCCCGGAAGCGCCCTGCAAGCAACAGGTGGCCTCTGAACTATTCCTGGGTGTCCCAGGCATCCTGAGACTCAAGGCAGCAAAGGACTGGCAGCACTGTGTATGCACTGTCAGATGTAGTTTCTACTTTGAATTAGTTTTAGTCTCCAAAGCTGAACCTGACAAATAAGAAATTAACCCTGAGCCCAGCCGGCCACCAAGCCAGCTGGGAACTTGGTCTACAGGTGTCCTCCATCTGTCTCTTAGGCCCCTCAACCCTAACTGCCTCAGGAATTGTACACAGGAGCTGTGATGACTGTGGCAGGCAGGGGTCACACCGCCATCGCTGGGCAGCTGATAACGCGGGAGGCGCAGACGCACCTTCCTGCTGTCTCTGAGTAAGCACGCCAAAACCATCTCCTGAAAGCACCTCTTGGCGTGACTTGCAGCCCTCAACTCTTCAGACACTTTGCTGTAACATCTTACAACCATGAGCTCGTCACGAGGAAAGCTCTTTCTGCCAGATCAACCCTGGGTCACCAGCCGCGTCCAGGGACTTTTATGCCTCACCTCCCCGCCCGGATGCCGCTGTGCACCAGCAGGAGCCCAGGCCGCGCGCCCAGGGTTGAGGGCGCGCACGTGCATGCTGGACCCTACGGAGCAGCCGTCTCTGCAGGCGAACACACGGTGGAGCTGTGCACGCGCAGGTCTCAGACGCGTACGCGCGTGTGGCCGTGCACGCGCCGGGTCCCCGCCGCCCGCGCGTCCCGCGTACCTGATTGAAGTGTAGGGCGCCGGGTCCAGTAGCTCCGGTGTGGCCGCCCTGGCCCGCGCCCAACTCCCCAAACAGCAGCCCGAGCTGCGCGACAGAAAGGCTGAGGTTGGTGCCGAAGGTGCTGAGCACGTCCTCGCTGAAGTCGCGCGTGGGGCCCCCAGCGCCGAGCCTGGGCGCAGCCAGCAGCAGAAGCGCTGCAGCCGCAGCCATGGCCGAGAGGGGCGGGACAGCGTCGGGTCTGCGGCCGGGTCGGGTCGGGCGGGTCGAGTCCCGGTCGGGTCGGATTCCGCTAGAGAGGCGCCACTCGGGTCCTCGAGGTGGCGCAGGGCGATCGGCTGCGCGGACCCAGCCTGGCGCGGAGTCTGCGGGAGGGGAGGGTCGCGGTTGAGGCCGGGGCCACGACGCCAGCTGCCCCAGCCGCGCGGACCCGGATCCGCCCTTACGGCCCAGCGGAGGTGGACACGTGGGGCCCAGGTCCGAGCCGCTGCGCCACCCTCCAGCCCCGCGCGGCGGCGCGCGCCTGTCGTCCCAGCACTGTGAGAGGCTGAGGCAGGAGGGCAGCAAGTTCCAGCCCAGCCCAGGCGACCGGGTGAGATCTCGTCTCAAAATAAAATATGCAGAAGGGTAAGGCACGGAACTCCGTGCGAGGTTCGAGATTCTACCCCATGCCGGGGACTGGGGCCTCCCTCCCTCCCTCCCTCGTTTCCTCCCTCCTACTCCTGGTAGCTGCTCTGGCGAGGGAGGTTGGGGCTCCCGACCCCGCACCTCTCCGGCCCGCTCCGCCTCCGCGTCCCTCTGTGTACCAAGGCCACACTGCCCCTGCGTCCCTGTCTTCTGCTGTCTGGGCCCCTGCCCGCGGGGAGTGGGTCCGCCCAGACTTGAGATAAGGGACGGTCCTGTCCCCGCCCCGCACGCGACCCCGCCCCGCCCGGCGCCCCGCGCCTCCCTAGCCCTGCGGTCGCCCCTAGGCCGGCCCGGCCGATGCGGAGTTACATTCCTGATTACCTCGGTGCTATCGACGTCCTGGACTGGAGCCTGCAGCCCCGCATGGTCTCGGAGACCGACAGGAATTGCTTTGGTCGCACTTCTGACCCGCGGGAGAAAGAGGAAGCCGAGTCAGGAGTGTGCAGGATGGACGGGGCGCTTCCTGTGCCGGCGGAACATCCGCAGATCACAGGCAGTTTGTTTGTTTGGATGAGAGTCACGACACGCTGGCTCGGGTGTGAGCTCTGCGAGTTAGTGCTATGCCAAGGTGGAGTTCGGGGACAAAGGTTGTGTCTGCCGGGCACAAAACGAAACTGCGTCTTGCCGTCGCTGCCCAGGGAGTCCGGTGCGGTGCAGCCCCCAGCCACACACCCCGGAAGGGACAAGGGGCCCAGAGCAGGTCAGCAGGCCGAAGGACCTCACCTCCCTGGGTCCTGGGGTCCGCGAAACACGGAGGCCCAGGACAGGGGAGGTGCGGGAGTGGGGCGCTCTGCAGCCACCTGCTTGGTCTGAAAGGATCCGGGACAGATTCCTCCTTCAGGAGGAACTGAGCTGAGCCCCTTCAGGTGGAACTGAGCTGACCACCTCTCCAGGGTGCAGTCCTCGCTCATTGACAGTGAGCTCCAGAACCACACGATGCGCAAAAGCCCCCAAGACTGGAGGTCAACAGAGTCCCGGATCACAGGGGCAGGGTCTAAACCGTACGCTGGGTTTTTAAATGCTGTTTATTGTCTGATTTTCCTTTTCACCTGATGGCTCAAGATGTCCTTTAAGAGCTAATGAATGTTTAAAAAGGCTTCTCTAGCCAGTGTGGTGGTTTACACCAGTAATCTCAGCATTAACAAGGCTGAGGCAGCTTGATCACCACAACTTCAAGGTTGGAATGGGCTACATAGCAAGTTCAAGGCCAGCCAGCAGTACAAAGCTAGACCCTGTCTTTAAAAAAGCCTAAAAGAAAATAAAAACAAATAAAAAGATCTTCTGTATCTCACAGGCTGTTCAGTCCCAGCTTCTCCACCGCCAACATTGTGGATTACAAAGTGGTATGTTGATGTGTTGGGGGGTTTTTCAACAGAGGTAATGGGTTTTCAATGACACACGTTTTATATCATGGATTTTTTTTGAAAACATAATTTAGCAGTCATTCGTGTCATTCATATTTTGCTAATCCATCCACCCTACAGGACAGACAGTAAAATGGGTAATAATCACCCTGTCTAGAAACTTTTGCAGTACAATTAATGCAATACATGCATGCAATTAGTATTTGGAAAATGTGAGGTTACTAGCTACCAAGGAAGGAAGGCTGATTTCTAGATCTTATGCACTAAAAGGCCAAAATCATCCAAGTATGATTCGGGTCATTTGGGGGCCTCACTGCGCCTCCTGTCAATAACAGCACGGCTGACAAGGAGATTGACTGAAAAAACAGGCTGCAAAGCACAGCTCTTTTTCTGGGGAATTTGCTCTGGAGTCCAAGTGCTTTCCAGGCATAATGAGGGAGTGGCTATCCAGCACGGGCAGGGTTTGGCGAGCTCCTCTTTCCTCTCGGACTCATCTAGAAGCCAGCACAGCAGGGTTGAATGCCGAGAACCTGGCCCAGCCTTTGTATTCCTGCATATCTAACTGAGAAGTCACCTATTAGGAAAAACACAAGGCACAGAGGACAAAGTAAAGTCTAATGCTCCAGTAGAAAGGACATTTGACTTCAAATCATATCTTCCCTTAATTTCTTCAAATTTTTCAGAACCCAACTCTTTTGTGATTGTGACAAATGAGGAACAAATTTCTTTCTTGTAAACTTGCTCAGGCACACATGTTCCTGAGCAGGACTAGCAAGGACTCTGAAGACAGCCTCTCACCTGTGCTTTCTCTTCCTGTCCTTGGTACTCCTGGGTGGAGCACGGATGAGGGCCCAGTGACCCAAAGTGCGTAGTGGAGCTCCAGCAAGGGCAAAGAGACCCCAGCAGGAGAGGACAGAGCAATCTGCTGGAGTCTGACAGGTTCAGGGGCTGGGGAGTGACAAGACCACAGGAAGACGTCCTGACAGGCAGGTGTGTGTGTGCATGTGGTCACCAGTGTCTGCTGGCATTCAGGTGGGATGAGGAGGGCATCCTCAGCAGAGCCTACCTGGAACAGAGGTGGCCAGCAGGGGCTGCTGGAGCCCAAGTGCAGTGGAGGGAGTCCGTGGAGATAGAAATGACCAGCACAGGAAGTTGAGGCCAAGCAGGTGATGCTGATGACACAGAGTGACAGTGATGTCCTTGAGATAGGGGGTGATGAGCAGCTGGTAAAAAGGAGATACCAAGACCCAAGAAGGATAAAACAGGAACAGGGACTGTAGGAACAGAAGTAGGTTAATTATGGTATGGGTCAGCTTTCCTATCTTTGGGGCAAAATACCCCAGGTCCCTGTCCACAGTTTAAGGACAGTTTAGTCCACAGCTGTAGGCTCCAAGGCAGGAACATCATCACTGAAGGGCTGGTGGAACAAAGCTGCTCAGCTTACAGATGCCAAAAGCAGAAGGAGAGGAAAGAGCTAGGGACAAGGATACAAGCTTCCAGCTCAGCCTCCAGCATCCTGCCTGTCCCCCAGACCCCACTTGGGAATAGCACATCAGCCATGAGCTCATCAGAGATGAATCTGCTTATGAGTGCAGGGGTCTGCTTATGGTCCAACTGTCCCCCCCCCACACATACACCAGAAGTCCCACCTCTGGACAGGAGACTTGGGAGGCATTTAGATATGAAGCACAACAACTGTACACAAAGTGCTATGATTTATATCTAGATGTCCCCCAAAACCTCATACACTCATGGATAAGGCTTTGGGGAGTGATTGAATCGTGGGTTGTGATACTGCATTAATCCACAGATGGTTTTGCAGCTGGGTGTGAGGTTGGGAGGTCAAGCTGGGTAGGAGGAGGGGTCATTGGAGGCACGGCCTGTAAAAGCTGTGCCCCTTCTCCTCCTTGCTATCTCTCTGCTTCTTGCTGTCATACCAAGAGCTGTTTCTCCTCTTTCAAGCCCCTCTGAAGTGTGAACCTGCCTGGGAGCCAGCCAACTGTGGGCTGAAACTGAAGCAAAATAAACCTCTCCAGAGTCCTTAAAGTTATGATTGCCAGGTAGTTTGTCCAGCAATTAGAAAGTAAATGAGACACAAGAAAATTGGTTGAATAAATACATATGTTGTGGGTCATAGCAACCAGTTTTCTCATGAAATTGAAAATTAAAGAGAGAGAAAGCAAGACTGAACCTTGATCTCTTTAGCTGAAATTAGTGCCCTCGGTGTCAATTCATGGTTTCCATAGAGAAATACAGAGGTCTAGATGGCTGCACATAATTCCCAGCTTTGTCACTGCAGGCCAGGAGCACCCGCTAGCAGCAGGGAGTGTGACAACGAAGGCGCTGAACTTGGCTCTCAAGTGCAAGGCTCCAAGAACAAAACCAGAACTCCAGAGGAAAAGAGCTGAGTCCAGGAGCAGATATGCAAAGAACAAGATGAACCAGGAATAGCTCCTCATGCTTGAAAGTGAGGAAATGGCCCTGGCCAAAGACGTAGGAAATGCAGATGAAGTTGTTCCAGGAGAACCGGCTCAGATAGCGGCTCACAGGGTAAAAGTCTTTCTACTATGCTTGCAACTTTTGGGTAACATTGTAACTGCTTTCAACTTTGTATTTCAACTTTTGTATAATTGCTTCAAATTTTTAAGAAAGAAACCATTAAGCATTGATAAAAGAAAACACTTCAGCAACACATGCCATTGATAGTAAAATTAAAATTGTGCTAAACTACTGCTTTCATAAATTCTAGTGGGATGTCCTCATTAATATATCTTTTCAGCATTTGCAGCACTGTGCCTGCTGCCTGGGAATCCCAGACTAAACTGAGACCCCTGTTTTGCCTCTAAAATGCTGGGACTACAGAGAAATATGAGCTATTGCAGGGATGGAAACTTTAAAGGTCAAGCACGCAGGAGTCCCTGGATCCAACACACGTGCCCCAGCACATACAAGTGCACAAGCACACACACAGCGGTGGTGAGAAACGAGCTCTGTGCCTGCAGATGGCAGTGAATGAATAATCCATAGGGCAGGAACCCTGAATTTGAAAAGCAGGTAACAGTTTGATGGAAAGATGAGGAGCCATACATTTCAGGAAGGAAAATGTTAAGTATAAAGCCTGGACAGCTTAGAGGCCAAAAGCAGAGAAGGCAGCAACAGAGAGTACTTGGACCTGGAGTGCTGGAGCATCATGTGATAAGGAGCAGCCGGGACAACCTCCGAGTCTGGCTGGACCCAAAATGTCTGGTGAAGCAGAACACACACCTATGAATGTCTTCTCTCAGAGCAATTCCTTTCCCCAAGTTCAAGCTTCTTTCTTTTCTTTGCTTTTCTTTTTCTTTCTTTTTGCACAGGGGATTAAATTCAGGACCTCGAACTTGCCAGGCAGGCACTGTGCCACTGAGCTGTATCTCCAGCCCAGAAGTTTCCTTTTTGTTGTATTATCAGTATTAAACAATATTTAGTCATCATTATTGCAAATATACCACAGCTCAGATTCTCAAATACAGGCAAGCCAGTGGCTCTATCCAGGTCACCTTCATCTACTTGGCCACCAATGCCAAGACCACATGCAGAGGAGCACATCTCTGCAGGACTCTAGATGTCTCCTGCAGTCTGTAAAGTAAGGATCAAGGTAACTTCTGTTTGGTTTTGGTTTCATCACTAAGGAACTGTGAAAGCCGGGTGTCATAAAGGATGGAAAAGCTTTGGGCAGCTGCAGGTGTGCTCAGAAGTTAGGACAGTGGAGTAATACGAGCTGGAAGACAGGCATGGTGAGTGGCTGCCAGGGGATTGAGGGGAGAGCCACCAGGAAAATCCCAGAACAAAGAGTGCTTTAACCCAGCAAGATTCATGAGGGTTTTTTCTAGGAAGTTAAAGCACTAATCAGAAATAGATAGGACCATAGATAGCATCAAGTCTAATC